ATTACATTACCTAATTTACCATAGTGTAATGGTGTTATCTAAATTTAAAGTCACCATATATTCTAATTATAGGTGTAAATTCACTTTATAGGTTTTACATAAACTAAATGAACACTGCTTTATTGCCTAAATAGATTAACGTGAAAATAGCGGTACCTTATTTGAATGTATCATGTCGCCGTAGTTATTCAACATTCTAACACAATAAGAGCAATCTTATATCAATCTATCTATCTATCTATCTATCTATCTATCTATCTCTCTCTCTCTCTCTCTCTCTCTCTATATATATATATATATATATATATATATATATATATATATATATATATATATATATATATATTTGAATATCCGTGTGTACGTGTGCGCTTTAGTCGAATTCTCTGACGAATACATGCCACGGGGTATCATAATTTCTGGAAGCGATAAGACTCATTATATATAACGGGTTTAACAATATAAAATTGTCCGAATCGTGTCAGCCTACACTTATTAGATTAAACTTTGAAACGTAGTATGTTAGAAGTGATTACAGATATTTTACTGAAATTATCCGAGCTTTTTATAAATTTAATGGACTCTACTTCGAGAAATAAGAATATATGATTACTCTCAAAGGTTAACAGAAGAATCGGGATGAAATCAATCATAAACGAAAATGACATGTCCATCATTAATTAAATATAGCTAAGGATCGGAAGCTTATTAAGGATTGAAATAAAGTCAAAGAATATATCCATAATTCCAGGATCATTGTCTAGCTAACTCAAAGGATTTTTCAGTGATTCTTACAAAATATAGTGTCAGGATGTCTAAACGTAATATCTGAAATCATGAAAAAAAAGAAACTCAATTAGAAGAGTGGTTTTCTAGGTATTAAACATTTTGTGTGATAAACAATTTTTCTGTTACACCCGGTATATATATATGTAGTGATTTTTCATGCGTAGATAAGATGTGGCACAAGGTCGAAAGTATGGAGCACCCAGTGAGTATCGAACTCACTACTCACTCGTAATTGTTCTAGCGTGACAAGCTTGCAAGCTATTACACCCCTGGGTGCCATATATATATATATATATATATATATATATATATATATATATATATATATATATATATATATATATATAAACATAATGTTTCTCCTCCCGGGTTGCACAACTCTGAGTTTCATGCACGACACAATCATCAGGAACTGATTGTATATTTATTTTTAATATATATTTTATAGCTCAGATATTCTACATCAACCACTAATTTATTAACAGGATCACTCAATGTGCGATATATATATATATATTACACAAATATATAATAGATGACTAGCAGGTAACTGAATGATAAATAAAATAAAACTTCCTGCAGTATATGTCTTGTCCCCCGAGATACTTAAATGGTTTATATATATATATATATATATATATATATATATATATATATATATATATATAAACTTTCAATCATCTCAGAAGAGAACACACACACATACACACACACACACACACACACACACAGATATATATATATATATATATATATATATATATATATATATATACATGCATGTTACGAAGATGTGGTATAGTGACCGAACAAAGTGAAAAAGCTTCCTTAGTGATAACGCATTTCATTTCGTCTCTTAGGTTGGCATCCTCATGTCAAAATGAGACAACTGTTTTCTTTTCTTTTGTATGAAAGTCTGTTAGATTTTAAGTTATCCGACTCTAAGTTGATCAGTTATTCCAGCTATTATTTCGTACACCACATTGTGTTGCTGTAGCATCTGCGATGGTAAGTCATATTATGAGCCTGTTAGGCTTATGGTCGAGTATTTTGAAATTAGTGCTGTCAATGCATTTTCTTTTTAGTGAATCTTTTCATCCCCTGAGCAGAGTGGCATTTATTAAATCTAAATTGTGCCTAAATGTTTGACAGTGAACTACCAGTGCTTTCAAAATGTTGTTATGCCGCATCACATTTCTTTTGTTGTTGTTGAGATTTCAAGATGCTTCGCCGATGTATATCATTTTGCACATTGTAGAATTTATTTTATATATTGCTGCAGCTCTTGTTGTTAATTCGTTTGGTGCGAAATAAATCTCATATTATGCACAATGCTGTAGACGAGCCCTTTCACTTTGTCTCATTATATATATATATATATATATATATATATATATATATATATATATATATATATAATTAGATCAGCCGATTACTCTACCGTGGTTTCAAACATTCGTTGTCGTCAGGCGATTTCGGTCAATTGATTTCCTAACACTTTTTTTTTCCGCAAATAAATAATTATGAACGCTATATTATTTATTTTAAAAAACATTATGCACGGTTAAGTTATTTACCAGCTTCTTAAAGGGGCCTTTTGTTTATCAACTACAAAATTTTAGTTAAGAAGCTGAACGAGCATATAACTGTTTAGCATTGTTATAACTGATAGCGTTTTACTTCGTAGGAATGTTGAACGTCAGACTTCCATACATCGTACAAAGTAATGTAGCAACCTGTTTCAGACATAAAGAAATTGTATAGGATTTATATGCAGACAACTTCCTGTCATGACCTATATTAAATTCTTTTTTCGGTTAATTTGAATTTAGCATATGTAACATCTATTGTGTCGAAACATAATTCCCAATATGTAGAGATTATTTAACATGTTCTAATCCTATAATATATATATATATATATATATATATATATATATATATATATATATATGATTAAATAGATTACTTACATTATGTCTGCTTATTTTTAATACTCACGGATAAGCTTTCGCGTATTGCAATTAAATGATCTCAGAAATGTGCTATAACTATGAAAATCGTTTTTATTTTCCATTTCCCAAGTACTTTCGATCTTCTTCCGAGATCATCTTCAGGTGCGTACGTAGTAATACAAACTGTGTGTTGTTCACGGGATTAATTACTAATACAAACTGTTTTTTGATATCCATTACTGTCATTTTTCTTTTTGCTTTCAAATGCAACGATTTACAATCATGTTTAGCGTTCATTAGAACCTAAAACATTTATTCACGATGGATTTTTTATTCTGTGTTGTAAAGTCATGGTTATGCGCTCATTAAAACGTGAAAAACTTTTTTGAAGACATTTAAGTACATAACTACGGTATTCGTAGTTGATTCTATTAAGTGGCGACTTTGATTTTTTAATGTTTATTGCTGCGAGGATCTGTAGTTTGAATTTGTTGTTTTCTTGGTATAGGATAGTACGTAGGAAATGGAAAATAAAAACTATTTTCATAGTTATATATCATTTATCATATCATTTAATTGAAATACACAGAAAGTTATCCGTGACTATGAACGGATTTTATAAAAAATAAGCAGACATAATTTCTGTAACATATAACCAGACATGCAGGAAAGTGAATTCGCTGACTAAATACAGAAATATATATATATATATATATATATATATATATATATATATATATATATATATATATCTATTTACAATGAATCATTCATACAAAAAGTAGATTACTACAATATTCGTCGTTGATTCTATTAGGTGATGACTTTGATTTTTTAATGTATAAAAAAGTAAGGATCCTAAAATTCATCGAGTGGTTCGTAGATTAATCCAACTTTAAAATTTTGTTTGCGAAGAGTTTTCGCCGTTTTATATCATTAACTTTACTAATCTACTTTTTGTATGAATGATTCATTGTAATATAAATTGAACTGCACCACATATTTGACTTAAAAGAACTGATCCGACGTGCAAATTTTCGGGATAACAACTGATACATTAATCTATTTATTGAACAATTTAGTTCATGCCACATTGATTGAAAAACTCTCACAACAAAATTTCTCAAATTACCATATTACTAAAAAACGCCTTCTCTTAAATTTTCAAAAAAATTCAACCTTAGCGTTGCGACTGCACACTCCAAAAGTTTTTATCCGTCAACAAAAACACATATTTCGATTCGCATTTTATCATTCGTCTCCGCTACTACCTGGATTTATTAAAAACAAAATAATTTCCATGCCTGAGGATGACTGTATATACATTTGAAAATACCAGCAGATTAAAAAATACCTCATAAAACTTGTAGTTATTAAAAACAAGGATCATAACATTTATCGAGAGGTTCGTAGGTTAACGCAACGTTAAAATTCTGTTTGCGAAGAGTTTTCGCCATTTTATATCATTATCTTTACTAATCTACTTTTTGTGTGAATGATTCATTGTAATATAAATTGAACAGCACCATCTATTGTATATATATATACATACACACACACACACACACACACACACACATATATATATATATATATATATATATATATATATATATATACCTGTAGAAAAATAAACCAGATTGTCACAAATCCATAGAGCCTCACATTCAAATAGCCGCCAAGTCGGCTTGCTTGTGACCCTCTTTTTCACTCTCACTGTCACAATAGGTGTTCGAAGGCAGCTATACTGAACTGCGCACCTGCATTATTCTATCAACAGTGAAGCTATAGTATCACCTGTTTTCTGTTGTAAACGACGGAAATAGCCTGTCCTGGTCTTCCTTTGTATCATTGAGCCAATAGCATCAGCAGGGGCGGGCACTCAGCATTAATGAAGTTAAGTAGATTTCTTCTACAGAAAGCCTGATTATTAATATGAATAAGTCCTTCCGAGGGATGAAACGCGCAATTTAGATTTTCCATTCACTTATATATATATATACAGGGTGATTGAAAGTAACTCCCTATTTTATGTATGACGGACACTTCTGTTTAACTATAATTTCTACAAGACGAAAGAGTCCATCATACATAAAATAGGAAGTTATTTTTAATCACCCTGCGTGTATATATATATATATATATATATATATATATATATATATATATATATATGTATGTGTGTGTGTGTGTGTGTGTGTGTGTGTGTGTGTGTGTGTGTGCGAATTTACTTTTGAGCTCTTTTTATGGATCAGTTTTAATACTTGATATTACTTAATGGCAAAAGACATAAAAAAAACAAAGACAACCACATTCCGAAGATGACTCGCAACGCAACACCATAGATAAATTCGGAATTATTAACATCAGTGAGCTGACGAATAAACAACACCGATGAAATACTGGGTGATCTAGGTAAATCAAATATAATAGAATTTCCAAAGTAAATAAGCGTTAATGAAGGAGAAAGCAGGTGAGGAAAATAGGGAGTGAGCGAGAGAGTGAAGTAGGGAGAGGAATGGATAGAGTGAAATAGGGAGAGAGGGAAGGATAGAGTTAAACAGGGAGGGATAAAATGAAAATAGGGAGAGGGATGGAGACTGAATTGGGGAGAGAGAGAGTGGATTAAGGTGGAGTAAAAGAGAGTGAAATAGGACAGGGAGTGAATGGGGAAGAGTGAAAGAGGGGGAGGAGTAGCGATAGAGATGGAGAAAGAAAGAAACGAAGACCCGATATCAACATATCGGGCAGTTTCAATTTTCTCTGTTTGAGACGCCATCAATACTTAGAATATTCAAAGGACTGTAAGTTTCATTCAAGTTTCCCCTCAAAAACCATGGCCACAGAAAACAGACTGGAAAAAGAAGGCTCAGACATTCACCCAATCTTTTGTCATCTTTACTCACACAATCACACTCTCAGCCTTTTGCGGATTTTTCGAGTTTATATATAAACATTTATAATAATGGACTCTCCCGTCGGTTTCGACGTATGAAGATTTGACAATTTAACCAATTGATTCAGTTATGAAATTTTGTGCGATAATCTTAAGTGGCACTTGACCCACTAGTGACTTACATAGGAGGCCGCATATGGAGGATAGTGAGAATTGTGGAATGAGATCACTGTCAGAATGGCTGACCTTTTAGATATTGCTCTCACTTCTTGAAGACGATTCATACAAACAGATTGAAAACTGCTGATTCCACTAAAACACGTTGATCTCCATTCTACCTGCCCCATGGCTAAACGCTGGAGGGTGTTATGAAGTATATTGACAGCTGACAATTTGCTCTACAGCTTGTCTTTTTATCTTAGCCATGGGTGTCCTACATTCCTGTAGCCCTGATCTAAATTGCTGTACATTGGGATCATGGGTATCCTGTCATCAGACATTCTCAAGATATGATCAGTCCACTGTAACTGAGACTGTATGAGAAAAGTATCGATTGTTCCAATATTACACCTGTTAAATAGGTCTACGTTAGATCTCCTATCTTGAAGGTTAACTCAACAGATGGCATGCAGGCAGCTATTATGAAAAACATCCAGGTGGCGTATATGGTACCTGTATGGAGTCAACGAATCTGAGCCGTACAAATGTTTGGCAAGCACAACAACTCCGTAAAGCCGAATTTTCGTATTCAGCCGAATACCCCATGATATAACGATATATAATTTTGTATAATTTTATAGATCAGCAAACAGTATTTAAAAAAAAATTGACAAACTAAAGTTTTTTTACAAAAGATTTTGAAACTACCTGTGTTTCTCGTTTCGCGCGCATGTGTAGACGTGGCAACGTCATCAAAATCCAGTTCGACAAAATCCTAACGGATGAAACACATCACAAAAACCTTTTCTATATATATATATATAGAGAGAGAGAATCCACCAGAAACTCAATCATGCACTCAAGGCTTTCAAACCTCTCCCAACCCAGTTCAGGTTATTTCCAACTAGATTTTAGACTAATACGTTCGGGACATGAATTATAAGTCGATATCAGGGTTGTACATTGTAGATACTCACGATTTCTTCTAAGTTTTTCTTTTTCGGAAGGGAAAAAATAATCTCTAGGATTTTCCTCATAATTATTATTTTACCCTGTCTAGACTATGTATTATATAACATCAGGCTGTTATTATCGCATCTGGTCTACTTGCTTTATTCCACAGTTTGTTCTCATATTGCTTTTCTTACATCCATACTTTTGAGTATTATAATCTAATGGAAGAGTTTTCCTTTGTACCCATTCCACCGATGCAGAAAGTTTTCTTTTTTCACTATGATCGTGCCTTCTTTAGATTTCATAAATTCGGGCTGAAGAATTTGTTTTCCCTTCTGTTATTTTTTGTTTTTTGCGTAATCGCTCCATCTGTATCCTTACAATTTTTCATATCATCACATTAGTCATTCTTTTTTTTTTTTTAACCAGCTCCTACTTACCTTTGAGGGTTTTGCTGAACCATTTCTTAGCATTATCTTCTGTTTCATTAATTAGATCAGAAATTTCGCATCTCAAACTTTTCTTTTACAATTGCCTTTCTTTTCGCAGAATGACTTTTTTTTTACCTTTGTCACTAATGCTTCCCTGAAGGTGTTCAATTTTATATTCTCGACATGTTCGAAGGCGTCTTACTTGTTCCTAAACGCCTTTGCATATGCTTGTCTGAAAATAAGATATATTATGAATGTTTTCTATCACTGTTTAGGTATTGATTGGTTTTCTTTAAGTATTTTTTTTCAATCTTATGCAATTTGATAAAACTCCGAGGTTATCACACCCACAGCTAACGCTTATATATATTTTTCGTTTCTATATCTTTTCGTTGGTGCTTAAGTATTCCGTTTTGTTCTTGGTGTCTCTTAATGGGCTTTCCAAATACACAAGCTCCGTGGATATTCTTCGAAGCAAGTGTTTATTATTTTATAACTAGCTATGCAGCATTGAATATATTTTACATTGTACCCATTGCATTATAGGTGTGTGTACTTACAAGTTCAAAATCGTTTCCCTTCTTATATTTGCAATTAGGTCACCATGATAATAAAAGCATTTTGAGAGTTGCATTCTGAACTGACATTTTCGAGTATGACGCAAAACGTATCTATTTGTTCTTCAGTGGTTTTTTATGATAGTAAATAGATAACTGTGTTCATCATATTGAGTGTGCTTCTATTCAGTTTCCGAAGAATAAACGATAAGATAATACTACTAAATGTACACCAATGTTTCTTTGTCCGTTGCTTCATACTTCTTTCCATTTATGAATAAACATTATTCTAAAAACACTCGTTCTTCTAGTCAGCAAACAAAACGTACACGTAAATAATTCTCATGAGGAATCCGAACTTTTATTAAACGCCTCATCACATGACATCTAAGCTTGTGATACTATGAACAACGACGTCTAAAAGAATAGTTTGGTTTTATCTCGATTTCGAATGTTTCTATTTGACAGGCCAGTGGACAGTCCCTTTCAAAGTTTGGTTCTCTAAGCGGAATCTTCTTTGACCGTAATGGAACGCAGAAGCGTTCGATGAATGATTATGGGCGATCAAGTGGCAACAAAATATAAATAGGGTATATCTGGGTGCTGGTGCTTGAGATTATAATGAGTACTGGTTCACCCTAAGCTGAAGACGGACAGGTCCGCTACGCAGTTACGGGTGTTCAATTTCACATTACTGTAAACCACGTTGGAATTAGTAAATAATCGATGAGTTGGTAGGTGGGGAAAGCTGGTATAGTATAAGTGGTCCCAAGTATCCCCCATCCCGACAATCAGGCAAGGCCCTGAATAAAACGCCCGGAAACAGGGTTTGTGTTCTCGACGTGGCGTTTTCTTTCATCGTGTTACTTTGTGAGCATGCATTTCACCCTTTCCCAGTTGACGGTGAACACCGGAGATAATCGGAATGCAATGAGGGGGCATCATTGGCCAGTGGTAATTCTGGGCGAGAATTGCGTTGTATGTTTACAAATTAATATTTTAGAAGTCCTGTATAGTAGGAGAACTAGACATCTACCAGGTTTCATTATTGGCGGCCACAACTTTAATATAAGATACAGATGAAACTGTGTTGATAGCAAACATTGAAAGGAAACTAAAAGAACTCCTATAAAAGACAGTGATATAAAGGGAGAAGAAAGGGCTAAACACTATTTTCAAGATGACTGAATTCGTGATTATTAGTAAATGGAACATCTGAACACGCAAATTACAAGCTGGTGATGCCGAAACCGTATAGATACAACACTTTAAATAAATGGGAAAATTAAAAAGAACAAAAACTTGTGATTCCAACTGATAATTTATTGTTAAAACAGATATATTTCGGAAAGCTTTTAGCATCCCGCAACCACCTTTTTTATCAACATCAATTTTTGTAGAAAAAGTGGATCACAGAGCTTATTCAGCTTAGTAAATATTTTCAGAAAATCTCAACTTCTAATTGGTCACTTAATATTGAATAACATCGATCTAGTTCTTGACCTGACCAAAAAGATAATTCCGTCAAAATCTATCAATCTTCTGTGAGCCAATCACGCGACCAAAAAACGTACATTTTAAAAGTATATATAAATATATACCAAAATTAAAACAAAAACACAAGAGAGCAAGTATAACTGAAAAAATACTCACCTTAAAAAGGATCTATCAAAAATAACAAAAAAACGAACTAACATGTTATCTGTAAATCTTTTTTGTCCTCATTTGGATTTGAAGAACGTGGATGCTCTTCAAAACCATATGAAAACTGATTTGCTCAACGATTAAAAACAGCGAAGAGTGAAAAAGGTTACTACCACGGAGTCAGAAGTATGAACTATAGACATATTACATTTAAACCCAGTAGCCATTACTTCTCTAAGTAGAAGGAATGTTGTTTAAACTTAATATAAATTGTCACGAAACTTCCCAAACCGTAATCTGAATTCACTTTGTTGATTATGGTGAAAGAATCCATCGAGAAACGAGTGGCAATGATCGGATTAAATATGAAACTTCTTTTATCTTCGACAGTGCGCCGATCGGAATCCTTTGAACTCGTTACACAGTTCCAGGCTTTACGTTAAAGTTCCTTAACAGGATTCCAGCCTGAGAGAACACTCATCCACACAGCAATATTTTATGACGAGCAATCAACTCAAGTTTTGCACATTCAACTTAATACTCGAATCTTTTTCATACGCTTTCAAGCTCAACGTTAATTATTGCAATTAACATAAACACAGATTGTTAAGAAACATTTACCCCAACTAGAATATTCTCTTCGAACAAGTGAAAACAAATCAAAGGGCAACGATTCCGTAAACCTTAAAATAAGTAGTAAACAATATTTCTCTCTTCCAAATACAAACTTGAACTGTTTATTTTTTCTTAAATTAATATAATACCAAAACACACTTTCTCATTATTGTACAGACCATTCAACAAATTATAATCTATCAAACCAGAAATTTGATAACCTTTCATCTAAACATAAAAGGACGTTTGAACTTTTTAAAACCACCTTCTTACTCCAGTTGTTTTTGTATCTCTTGTTTATATAAATATTTTATTCATTGTTGTGCAAAAACTGTTGTTTCTCATGTTGTCCTTATTCTATGTTTGTTGAATTCTAAAATTTATTGTGAGAGGAAATTGTTAGTTTCGTCAGGCAGCCTAATTTACTCAACAATTTTTGATCAATATAATTTAATCCATTAACACAATCTCCAGAAGCTTTTGCAATCCTTGATCATTCTTGAGAAATATATGAAACAATGCC